TTTAGGGTTTAGGGTTTAGGAATGTGAATATGGTCAGAATGTTCGACTCACTCTAACTGCGGTAACCTTACTTCTTCCTGTTGCGGTTCTTGCCAGCTATCACTACTTGGGATTTAGCTGAGCTTAATCTAGGATCTCAGCAATGGGACACAGCGGCATGCCCTATCTCTAGCTTCCCTGAAGCAAGAAGCAACCGAAACTCAGAAGCCAAAATACTCCTCAATCCAAGAGCCCCGAGAGCTGCAAAACATCCGAGCCCCCGAAGATGACAGGAAACCCCTCCAGACCCAGACCCAGAGCTACGAGATGGGTAATTCTCTACTTCTGGGTCCCTTTTAGGTCCCCAACATAGTACGGCACCCCCTATTAAAAGGGACCCCAATTTACCCTAAACCCTAAACCCTAAACCCTAAACCCTAAACCCTAAACCCTTGCAAGAAGGTCCCTAAAAGGGACCCTAATGTAGCGAACTACCCGCATGCCTTCGCCTTCTTCTCCTAACTTGGCCTCCGGGCTTCATCCAAAGCCGTGCCGCCTGCTTAAAACGTTCATTCATGAGGGTTTCCAGGGTTTAGGGTTTAGGGTTTAGGGCTTAGGGCTCAGAGTTTAGGGTTTAGGGTTTAGGGTTTAGGGTTTAGGGTTTGGGGTTTAGGGTTTAGGGTTTGACAGGGGCTTAGGAGTCTAGGATGCTGTCGGGCTTGGGGATGTTAGGGGGTGCGGGATTTGAGACGCTCATTGTTTGGAGGTGTGGGGTTTATAGGTTTAGGGCTGGGCGATCAGGGACTTCGGGTTTAGGATGGCAGCGACAAATGGTATCAGCGTGAACGAGCCCCCTAAACCCTAAAAATCCCTAGAACCCTAAACCCTAAACCCTAAAGCCCTAAAACCTAAAACCCTAAAACCCGAAACCCCAAACCCTAAACCCCAAACCCTGCCAGCCCCCGAAGACCCAAAACAAAAACCGCCGCCCCTTTCGATGATCCGGCCTCTCGGACCAGTTTCGTGCCTCGGGGAGCGGATACGATTACGAGGGTTTAGGGTTGAGGGTTCAGGGCTTTCGGGTTTAGGGTTTTAGGGCTTTGGGGTTTAGGGTGTAGGGCTTTAGGGTTTAGGGTTTAGGGTGTTTGGTTTTGGGGTTTTGGGTTTGGGGTTTTGCTGATATGCTGAACACTGCTATTGCTCTGACCATTTCACTGGCCCACATCGAACCCAACACCACGCCGTCGGTCTGATTGCTATCGCTTCAACGGTTCTGATGTCACCCCTAAACCCTAAACCCTAAACCCTAAACCCTAACCTAAACCCTAAACCCTGAACCCTAAACCCTAAACCCTAAACCCTAAACCCTAAACCGTCACCGGGGTCGTTTGGATCCGTCTACGCTCCCCCCTTGCCTGCGAGCGCCGCGCTGCAGGAGGACCTGGGCAACCTGGCCAGGACCCCCGAACTCTGAAAGTGCACCGCCAAAGGAACGCCTATAGAAATCCTGGTGGTGGTGCCCCCTCCTTTTGCACTCTTAGCCTTGAAAGATCCCGTAAAGGTAACCCTTCTTGAAGCCTTAGCCAGACCACGGCTGCAAGCGGAGAGGAGTGGAGTGTAGCCATCTCTTGACGAACGGTTGACATCGGCACCTGGCAGACGAATTAGGGTTTAGGGTTTAGGGTTTAGGGGCAGCGATTAAAAAGAAGGCAGAACTCCTGCATGAAACGTATGTCTCTTGTAAACCAGCCTGCACCTCCAAAGGCTTGTTCTAGGCCGTGAGCAATTGCTTCAGCAGTAACGCTTACTGCAACACGGATCCCTCATCAGGCACCACTGCTAACTGCTATCTATAGCAAATAAGGAAGGCTCCTCAAATGTGGGACTTCAGGAGTCCTGTAAGAAGGGAAGTTGGAATCGTGGTCGGCCTCCATTCATGAGCACAGACGCGAAATCTTCCACATCTCCAGGTGGCAGGTTCGTCACCGCCCGCTCAAGCAGGTTGTTGCCCTGTGGGGATTGACGGCTTTGGGGCTTTAAGATTCTCGGCTTGGGGTTTCGGGCTATGCTGGCTACACCATTTGATGTTTGCGACCTGCCTTGCGTTCGCCTGGCTAGCTTCACGATGTCGAAATCCTCCGAAACATCCGAAGAGGGCTTTTGAGATACCTGCTCGAAACCATTTATATGGCACAAGCAAACTCTGACTAAAGAAGAGGTATATTCGTCGATCACGCCGGCATTGATTGCGGAACATTGACGCGACTGCAACATGGGTTTAGTAAACCCTGAACCAAAACTAAGGAAGTGTACGATCCACCCATCGGTCCGATCTCTGACGTTTCACGAGCGAGACGAGAACATACGACAAACACTGTTGACCCCCCATAACTTTGACACATTTGTCGGTGACCAGCAACGCTCAAAGCACAGACAATGAAAAAAAAGTTGCTGAAACTATAAACCTCGAGCCCTAAATCCTGGAAGCCTGAACACTAGAACTGCAAACCCCAAAGCCCACCTTGTAGTTGAAGTCGATGTCACCCTGCAGGATATTCTCCCGGTGCTTGCTCAAGGCCTCTTCTTGGGCGAAGACAGCCTCTGACCATCGGGGCTAGGGTTAAGGAACCAAGGTGCAGGTTTTAGAACCGCGTCGTCCAGCTACTTCTACTGCTACTGCTACTACTACTACCACCACCACCACCACTGCTACTACTTCTTTTGTCACTCTGCTTCTCGTTCTATCTTTACTGCCTCTGTTCTCAATGTTCTTAACACTGCATACGAGTTTGTGATATGGGGCTTGAGCTCTACGGCCGTGGACACCAAGAAGCTCTGGATCCCCGGGGTTGAAAGATATATGTGTGCAGGAACCTGCTGAATTCCATCTCTTCTACACCCTAAACCCTAAATCCTAAACGAAAGCCCTAGGCCCTAGGCCCCAGGCCCTAAGCCCCAAACCCTCGGTGTTGGCAGTCCTGGTGGCGCCAGAATATGTGGCGGTTCAGTCGATAGAAGCCATTCCTCGCACTCTGAGGCGTGGAGGCTTCTAGGAATGCGCTTCCGTGCACGAGTGAGGGCGAGGTGCCAAAGAGAGGTGGATGCACGACGTGCGGGGGTCCGAGGTCTGGAGCCGAAGGTCGCGAAAGATTGTGGTGGATGTTTGGGCTTGGACGGTTGCTGGATGCCTGAGAGAGTATAGTATATTCTATTACAATACATTGAAGTTCATGAAGTTCATGATGGTAGATTCTAGTATACTATAAGTTCATAAGCTACGCCCAAGTAGGTCAAAGTGACGTCCATCTCTTTGGCGGCTGCCTTCCAGCAGGACGGCAGCAGGTCAGCTTGCCAAATGCTCTGGCCTAGGGGCCTTGATAAATAGACTAGGGTTTAGGGCTTAGGGTTATAATTTGGGATATTCTACTATAAATACAATAAGGGAGGGAATTGTCTTTGCAATTTTGCAAGCTTCTTATCCCCTGCAACACCCAGCTGGCTTCCTACAACCACCCTGAAGCACAAGGTTTGAGGCCGAGGATCCAGGGATATATTTCGGGCTTGGGGTTCAAACATATACCACCCTCCACCCTATGCCCTGGAGCCCTCAGGGTTCCGTGTACCGGCTATACAGAGCTCTAGGATTCGAATGCCAAGCCCGTCGTTCTTCGGCAAGGTATTCGCCGATCATCTGAAAATCCCAAAAGTGCTGAAAACCCAAAAACCGAAAGATCCTCAAGCCCTGAGACACCGCCAAAAAGTGGCGAAACCCTTCAAACCCTTACATCCGGAAAGCCTGAAACCTCAAAACCTTAAAACGCAAACAACCCCCCCCCCCCCAAAAAAAAAAAAAAAAAAAAAAA